CCTCAGTGTGGTGGGGGCCCTCGGCAGGCACCCCTCTGCCCCGTGGCAGCCCCCGGGTGGCCATTCTGCAGAGCTGCGATTTTACAGTCGTCGGCCACACGCAAGCGAAACAGTTTGAAAGCATCTTTTGAACTCAGATCCTGGCGACTGACGCAGACGCTGACCGGGGTTGGCAAATGCCTGTGGCGCGGCTAGCTTGCCGCCTGGCTGGCTCCTTTGGATGGACATTAAGACTTGCCCCCCAAAACATTCCAGCAGCAGGCAGCCGATAAAAGACCCTCCCTTTACTGATTTGAAATCTCCTGATTTTGGTGACACGGATTCTGATTTTTAGCCCCTCGGGGCCCAGCGCTCAGCCCCTTCCTTTGGTGCCCCTGGTCTTGGGAAAGATCGTTAAGACTTGCCCCCCAAAACATTCCAGCAGCAGGCAGCCGATAAAAGACCCTCCCTTTACTGATTTGAAATCTCCTGATTTTGGTGACACGGATTCTGATTTTTAGCCCCTCGGGGCCCAGCGCTCAGCCCCTTCCTTTGGTGCCCCTGGTCTTGGGAAAGATCGGAGCCCGTCCGGAGTAATAGTGTCACGCTCCCCGGGAGGAGCTAGGGACGCTCCGGAGAGCAGCTGAGCCTGCGGAATCGCTTAGAAACGTTCCGGGGCTTTCTCTTGCCAAGGCTAACGAGTGAGCCCCTGGGGCAGCCCCCCCCCAGCGTCGCCCCACGAACATCAACACGACCCCCCCGGGAGGACACTGGCTCTGTACATGCGCAGCCCGCCCGTGTAGGGTCTCCTTGTCCCCGGAGACGGCCCGGCCCAGGGAGACCGACGCGCAGGGTCCCCATCGTGTTCGTGTCAAGAGCTGAACGGGGGAAACACTGACTGACGGCTGGGGCTGCGGTGGGGCAGCGCCATGGCCCTGAGAGGGGTGGGGAGCTCAGAGTCTGCTGGGGGAGGGGAGCAAGAGGGGCTCAGGCCTGCAGGGCTCTGCAGGCCTCCCACTTGCCTCTCTCCGGCAGCGCTGGCCAGCCAAGCCTTGGTTCCCGAGCAATGTTTGCAAGGACCCCAAGTGTGGTGCCAGGATTTGGCCACGGCCATGGAATGCAAGAAAGAGCTGTACTGCAGGGACGTCTGGGCCGACCTTGCTGTGGTGAGTGCTTGAGCCGCATCCAGCTCTCCTCCCCTTTCCTTGGGCGGGCGCTAGAGCCTCATCCAGCTCTCCTCCTCTTTCCTTGGGTGGGTGCTAGAGCTGCATCCAGCTCTCCTCCTCTTTCCTTGGGCGGGCGCTAGCAGTTTCTCCAGCTCTCTTCTCCCCTTTTCCTTGGGCAGGTGCTAGAGCTGAGTCCAGCTCTCCTCTCCCTTTCTTTGGGTGGGCGCTAGAGCCTCATCCAACTCTCCTCCCCTTTCCTTAGGTGGGCGCTAGCATCTCTTCTCCCCCTTTCCTTGGGCAGGTGCTAGAGCTGAGTCCAGCTCTCCTCTCCCTTTCTTTGGGTGGGCGCTAGAGCCTCATCCAACTCTCCTCCCCTTTCCTTAGGTGGGCGCTAGCATCTCTTCTCCCCCTTTCCTTGGGCAGGTGCTAGAGCCGAGTCCAGCTCTCCTACCCCATTTCCAAGAGCCAAGGATGGGGAACTGATTGTAGTTTGGTGACAAAAGGTGGGGTGAGGGGCAGCATGGAGGGGAGATGGGTGCTGCAGGCCCTTTGTCCCCATCACAGACCAACAGAGGCAAAACTTCACTCGTGTCAGCATGGACAGGCGTTCCAGTGGTGAGGGAACTAGCCTGCCTCGTCACAGGCTCCCACGCAGTCTCTCTGAGCCTCAGTTTTCCCACCTGTAAAATGGGGAGCATAGCATGGCCCAGTCCCCTGGGGGGGGCATGGGAATGTGAAAGGAGACATTTAGAGCTGTTTTCCTCCCATGGAAAATGTGAAGTGTTCAGCAAAACTATTGGAAAATGCAGTATTTCTGTTTTGGAAATGCTGCCAGTGCCTCTTGGGAACTGTGGTCCAGGTGCCAGCTGGACTACATTTCCCATGATGCACAACAGACTCCCCTCTTATGGAGGCGAGGCAGAGCGTTGTGGCTGCGGTGCATCATGGGAGCTGGGTCCATAGAGGAGGCTGGAAGTAGGAAGCACCTGAACTACAATTCCCATGAGACACTGCGGCAGCACGTCAGGATCAAATATGGGCTGCTGATAGGGGTTGCCAGGCGTCCGGTATTTGCGGCTTCTGTCCAGTAAAAAAACCAGAAAAGACCGGACATGTAAAATGTTTTTCTCGGACGGAAGGGAGCTTGCGCCATTCCTCCCCTGCTGTGTCTGGTGGGGGCAGGGGGCGCGTGGGGATGTAAAGGGGCCGTGACTTTTTTTTTTTTGGTGTGGTTGGTTTTTTTTTGTTTTTTTGCGCATCCAATTTTCCCCCCGCCATGCTCAGTATTTTTGGTGGCACTATCTGGCAACCCTAGACTGGGACGAACCCCTGACATGTCGCACAAGAAGCCGAGGCTTTTCAGGGAGCATTTTGTCAAGTCGAAAACTGAAAAACCAGCTTCCCCGGGGAACCTTTGAACCAGCCTTAAATACACGGAGCAATTGTGAGGCCCTGAGCGATCGTCTCTGGGGACAGAGAGTGTGTCATTTTGCTCAGTGGCGGTGCAGTGCCTGGCACTCGGTCCTGCCCCAGAACCACCCTCCTCGGCTGACAGTAATTTACTTAACACTGGGGGCGAGACGAGCCTTTGAGACAGAGAATGGCTGGGACACCCCGCTCCTAGGAAACACCCAGCCAGCTCCTCTGAGGACCCCTTGCGGGCAGGAGGTCGTCCTGGTTAGTGCTGCCCTGGGCCCCGGGGCCGGACCCTGGTCCTACAGCTCCTGCACTCTGGGCAACGTGGTTCTGTCTGTGACAGGAAGATCCTCTGGAGGAGGACGACGAGGCCCGACCCCCTAGCAAGAAGTGCTCTCTCTGCACCAAGCTGATGGATCAGCTCAAGTCAGCAGCTGGCGAGGACCCCGACGAGGTATGTCGCCCGGTGCCGCGGGCACGGCCCATTGGCCAGCCAGGGGGCTAGAGGTGGGGCCGGTGAGATGAGGAGGGAGATGATGGGGGGCGAGGGGAGGGCGGGATGGGGATG